GCAGCCTGGGTAGATGGATGAGCCCAGAGCCCCGATGTGAGATCACGTGGCCTCCCTGAGTGGAGGGGAAGGCCCTGAGACTGGGATGGGGAAAGGGGGAGCCAGGGTTGAGAGGGGGGGCAGCCTGTAGAAAAGATCAGTTACATTGTTTCCCCAGGGCCACTGAAAGCTTCCCACTGCGGGTGGCTGCTGCCCCCTAAAGGCAAAAGGCACAGAGTTTCCTTTGGTCCAGGAACGGAGTTTGGGGACCAGTGTTGAAAGTCAGCTAGCTTTAGAGGGGGCACCCCAGGACGTGGTCTAGCAGTTTCCTCAGAGTTCCACTGGCCTACCTACAGCCCAGATGGTCTCTCAAATGAGGGTCAGGGAGCTTGTGATGTAGACTTTGGTGACAGAATTTTGAATTCTAAGGTGGTGAGGGAAAAGGAGAAGAGGAGAGAGAGAGAGAGAGAGAGAGAGAGAGAGAGAGAGAGAGAGAGAGAGGAGAGAGGAATGTGGGATTCCAAGCCAACTTTATTCGAATGACTCATCCCATTTCCTTTGTCTATTCATCTCTCTTATCCTGGATATGATTAACCCCATAGCCTTAAAAATCTGGTTTATATTTCAATACTTTGGAGTTATTTCAATACTTCTGTGTTTAAAAATAACTGACATTTTCCTTAAAGCCTACTTATTTCTAGGACAAAAGACTTCATCCACTTGAGGTTTAGGGTTTCTCCCTTTTCTCCCATCACTTCTATCCAGTCAACCATCTACCCCAAAAGTATCGAGGGCCCACAGCCAGGAAGTACAGCAGGCTGGAGTGCATGCCTGGCATGCAGAGATCTGAGCTTGATCACTAGTACTTCGGGGTCCTGTGAACATCTCTGGGTGTAGTCCTGCTACCCCCCAGTCCTGCTTGATATGGTCAGTTTTTTTTTAAATGTAGGAGTACTGCTATTTATTCAGCCACTGATTAGCTGATTGAATTGTGCATGAACTCCACCTTACTTTTTTTTTCATTTTTTATAATTTTATTTATTGAATCACCATGAGAGCAGTTACAAAGCTTTCGGGTCTAAGTCTCAGTCATACAATGAAACACCCGTATCTTCACCAGTGCCCATTCTCCACCTCCAACAACCCCAATATACCCCCATCCCACACCTTCCCCCTAACTGTGGGGCAGATGATTTCCACATTACTCTGTCTCTACTTTGATCACATTCAATATTTTGACACCAGACCCACCATTATTATTTGAGATTTTACCCCAACACTCAGATCTGCTGAAAAGGCAACAGCAGACAATTTGTTTTCTATTGCTGGTTATAAATAACACATGATGTTGCGTGGCTCTAGTAGTGGCCACGCGATTTTGAAATTCCGAAATTTTAACACTTAAATCTGGCGGGATTTCTGCCAAAACCTGGGTTTTGAGATTTGCTCCTGAGTCTCTGGGATCATGGCCGTTAAGCAGCTTGATCAGGAGCCAGAAAGGCCATTCGTGGGTGATGACTTGGGGTCCCATTGGGGTTGGGGAGGACAGGACTGGCTCCATCCCCATCCCGTGAGGCCCCAAATGTCTCATCACTGCGGGCCCAAACCTGACTGTCCAATGGCCTCTGGAGGATGATGACCACTGAGCCACCAGGGGGATGTAGGCGGAGGGACAACACCCTTTCCCCTCTGGGGTGGCCCAGTGACAGTAACCTACTGCGTGGTCTGGACGCATTTCTGCCAAAAGCCGCTGGGTTTCAAGATTTGTTTCTGAGTTTCTGGGATCATGTCCATTAAGCAGTTTGATCAGGAATCAGAGAGGCCATGCCTCCAATTATATAGCTGAGCCGGAGGTGGTTTATGGGTGTGTTTCCCACATACCTAACTTTTGGCCGTTTACTTTCTTGGTAAACTTTGCCCCAAGTTTTTGGGGTCTGGCCAAAGGCTCAGCAGCATCGGAGAGCCCGGCAAGCTACCGAGAGTATTCGATATGCCAGATACAGTAACAACAAAGTCTCCAATGGAGACGTTACTGGGCCCGCTCGAGCAAATCGACGATCAACGGGAGGGCCTTTACCTTTACCTTTACCTTGGAAATATGAAGGCGCCATCAGGCTGCTGATGCACTCACCTCATACGTGCAGATTGACCTGCTGGTGGCACCATACCCCCAGATATGGTCAGTTTTGAACCATCTGATGCCCCTGCAGTCTGAGTTGCCTGGGAGCACTGCTTGGGAGTGCTCTTCCTCCTTATAATAATGAAATTTGTTGAGAGTTTCTGGGGTTTGGGAGAAAAGAAAACTTACTTTTCTTTTTCTTCCCCCACTTTATTTAAACACCTTGGGTGTGAAGTTGTCCTCAGTGCATTTGTTATAGGCATTCAATAGTCCAACCCCAATCCCACCATCACTGTCACCTTCCCTCCACCATTGTCTCCATGTTCCCAGCCACCCCTCAAGCCTGCCTTCATAGCAGGCCCACAATAATTTATTACATTATTGTCATAATATAATAATTTAAATATTTATTATTTATTAATCGAAGTCATGATCCTCCCATTGTTCATCGATTTGCTCAAGCGGGCCCAGTAACGTCTCCATCATGAGACTTGTTGTTACTGTGTTTGGCATAGCGAATACATCACGGGTAGCTTGCCAGGCTCTGCTGTGCGGGCGAGATACTCTCAGTAGCTTGCCGGGCTCTCTGAGAGGGGCAGAGGAATCGAACTCGGGTCGGCCATGTTGGCCGCTTGTAAGGCAAACGCCCTACCACTGTATATTTAAATATTTATTATTGTTGCCACTAGATGGCTACCAGGATGATTGAAATATATTTCCATGGAAGAAAATTTGTGAAAATTGTATCTGACGTGAAGTCATTGTCTGGAGTTTATTAAGCTGTGGCTGTAAGTTCAATTTTCTGTGTTAAAATGTTTTTTGTTTAACTAGGATGTCTGGCTGGAGGCATGGCAGTAGCTTTGGGGTGTGGAAGTGGCTGACAGGGATTTTTTAGGGTAGGAGCTGCCCCCTTTGTTCCCCCGAGATCACCCTGTAGGTCTCAGCTGGGAATAAGTGTCTGGGAGATTTTTAAGGTTAGCTGATTGCTCTCAAGATTTATTTATCTTATGAGTCTCTGGAACAGGGCTGGTAGATGAGCTTATGTGGGAGTGTAGGTGAGACGTGAGTGTGGCTGCCGAGGTTTCTGGAAGGATAGAGATAGGGGAGATGTCACCCATCCTGACTCCAAGAAGGTCTGAAGGAAACTTACTTTTCATTGTACTTTTGAATTGTTCAGGTTACTATCAATAAAAAATTATTTAAAATATGCTTTTTTTGAATACTTTTTTTTCAGATGGACATTCTGTAAGCTGCTGCAGTCTTAGATGAGACCAGTTCCTGAGCTCAGTGGAGCTGTGCTCTAGGATCCAAGAGCAACCAGATTTCTTCCTGGCCAGTGAGATCCCTGAGTCTGTGGTCTCACTGAGAAGATAATTTAGGGGGTGAAAATCAGCCTGTGGGAAGACTTGGGTTCTGGGTTTGTCTAAGCCTGACATATTTGCTTTCGGCATTTTCTCATGTTATTTATTTATTTATTTATTTATTTTTTGCTTTTTGGGTCACACCTGACAATGCATAGGGGTTACTCCTGGCTCTGCACTCAGGAGTTACTCTTGGTGGTGCTCAGGGCACCATATGGGATACTGGGAATCGAACCCGGGTCGGCCGCGTGCAAGGCAAACGCCCTACCCGCTGTGCTATCTCTCCAGCCCCTCATGTTATTTTTTAGTGTGCATCAGTGATTTATTTCTAAGATTATTTTGGATTAGTGTTTGTCTACCTCTACTAGTCTGCATTATCCTTAAGGTCAGGAAGCCTGTCTTTTCTTTTTCTTTTTGTTTTATTTGGCGACACCTGGCTGTGCTCAGGGCTTACTTCTCGCAGGGCTCTGGGGACTATATGTGGTATCAGGGATGGAATCTGGGTTGGTCACATGCTGGGCAAGTGTCCTACTCACTGTACTATCTCTCTGGCCCAAGTCATCTTTTCTTCATTCATAAAATATAACCCTAGTATCTGACATATAGATCAGTAAATATGGGGCTGGAGCAATAGTACAGTGGGGTAGGGTTTTTGCCTTGCATGCGGCTGACCCAGGTTAGATTCCCAGCATCCCATATGGTCTCCCAAGCACTGCCAGGAGTAATTCCTGAGTGCAAAGCCAGTAATAACCCCTGTGCATTGCCGAGTGTGACCCAAAAGCAAAAAAAAAAAAAAAAAAAAAAATCAGTGTTTATTGACAAAATTATTCTGTATGATTTATCAGAGTACTTTAGTAGGTACAATTTGTCTGTTAAGTGCTGTATGCACAGTTAGAATAATGCTATATTGTGATAGAATGGCTCATATTCTTAGAGAACATTCGAATTGTTCCAGGGACTGGGACTGTGCCTCAGTGGTGGAGGGCCTACCTTGCAGGTAAGAGGCCTCAGTTAGGTCCTGAACACTCCCCATGCTGAATGCATCTCATTGTTATTGGTGATACCAGATGCACACACGGAGCAAAGGGGAGATCTCCCACATATACCAACGTCAGATCCTCCAACAACAACAAAGAAAAGAGAAAGGAAACAAAAAAACAAAAACGAAAAGCAAAGAATCGTTCAAACTTTGGACACAAACTGCATTGCATAGGATGCACTGGAGTACCTTCTGATTGTATTTTATGCAAGTAATCTGGGGTAAGTCTAGAGCGGCACCTTTAAAAATATTAAACATTATCCTAGATGCAAAAGCGACTATGAGTTTGGGCTTCATCCTTGGCGGTGAGATTCCGAGGTTAGTAATTTAAGCTGCTCCCCTACCGCCGGCGGGGGAGGGAAGCGGTACTGGATTCCAACCCCCTTAAAGAAGCTCCGCCCCGGGTGTCACCACTTTTGGATTCCGGAATCCTTTTTTTTTTTTAAACTCTCCCTTCCCACCTCGTGTTCCTCCGGACTATTTTGAGCGACGCGCACTTCCGGCATCTCCCGTGCGCGCGGCGTGTTCCGCCTGCCCCAGCCGGTTCCCGGGAACCGGGCGCGCTGCTCGCTTCTCTTGCTGCGTCTCTGCCGTCGGCAACTCGGCCCCATGGCAGGGCTGACCCTGTTTGTGAGCCGGCTGCCGCCCTCGGCCCGCAGCGAGCAGCTGGAGGAGCTGTTCAGCCAGGTGGGGCCGGTGAAGCAGTGCTTCGTGGTGACCGAGAAAGGTAGGGGGCGCGGCGGTCGCTGCGGGCCGGGACACGCTCTTCCTCCCCGGGGGGCCGCGTGTTTCCTTACCCACACCTCGGGCACGGGGCTGGGGAGCCAGTTTCTTTTCCCGGCGAACTCTGCTTTCGAGGAACCCATCACCGACTGTTTTCCAAAAGTCAGAACCTTCGCTTGGGGTGTCTTTATCAGCGGCGTTCCTTTATTGTGCGTGCGCAGTATTAGGTTATTTTCGGTAATGATGAAAAAGAACTCATTTTTTAATAAAACACCAGTAAGGCTTATCGAGAGTCGACTGAGGCACAGGTGCAGTGATGAGTTTCACGTTGTCACCGCATTGACATTTCTTAACATTAGTCTTGTTGGATGGAGGGTTCTGTGTCTGTCTCTGTGTCTGTCTCTGTCTCTGTCTCTCCCTCCCCTCCCCCCCCCACCCACACACACACAGTGTAAATTTGAACAAACAGGAAGTAGTGAAATGCGAATCTGCTTCCCAGATCAAACACGAACAAACAAACACTGTCCTCCCTTGTTCATCGATTTGCTCGAGTGGGCCCAGTAACGTCTCCTTTTTTTTGAGACTTGTTATTACTGTGTTTGGCATATTGAATACGTCGCAGGTCACTTGCCAGGCTTTGCCACGTGGGTGAGAGTGGGTGAGATACTCTCGGTAGCTTCCCAGATCATTATTTATTTATTTTGTTTTGCTTTCTGGGTCACACTTGGTGATGCTCCGGGGTTATTCCTGGCTCTGCACTCAGGAATCACTCCTAGCAAGTGCACAGGGCACCATACCGGATGCTGGGGATCGAACCCGGGATGGCCTGGTGCAAGGCAAACGCCCTACCCACTGAGCTATTGCCCTAGCCCCACCAGACCATTATTCCAGTCATTCACTAATTTATTTATTGAGTGAATACTTTATTGAATGTGACAGGCAGCGAGACACAGTAGCCCAGGGGTTCTTAGGGGCCGACCCTGCTGGTGCTGGGGAGGGGAGACAGGGACAGATCCTATTTGATGCCAGAGCTTGAGCCTGCTGCATGCAAGGTTAGTGCCCTAACTGTGGTCCCATCTCTCTGGCCCCTGCCCTATATTTTGACCTCCCCCACAGGATCCCATGCCTCCAGAGGCTGGCCTAGTGCTGGCTCCCGGGGTGACCAGGGACTTCCCACATGAACTGCATGACTCCAATCCTGGATTCAAACCCTGAAGAAGGCGGAGGTAGAGAAGGTCAGAGGTAGAGGGAGCGGCTTGTGTCAGGAAGAGTTCCCAGGGCTGAGGCTCAGTGGGAGAGGACCTGCCTTTGCCTGCGTGAGGCCCTGGGGTTCATTTCTCTCCCCACCCCCCAAAAAAGCCCAGGCAACTGAACTGTGAGATAGGAAAGAGGACAGTCAGACCATTAGACTCCGGCATCCGTTATCCTCACTCCTGTATGGACGGGTGCCATGGATATGAAGATGGGGGGGCGTGGTCCTTACCCTCTGGATGGGGATTGGGAGTCAGTGGCCTTGTTCTCCCCATGCCATTCCTTTTCCTTTTCCTTCTACTCACCTTGGCCTCCCATCTACTCAGGGTCTTCAACTGGAGACAGCCTTGAACCTCTTGCAGTCAGATACTGATACTCCTTTCCCTAGAAACTTCCCCTTACCCCCTAAGCCTCCTCCCTCCCCCCTCCAGACTGGGACGAGCCTGCCACCAGCTTCTGCAGCCTATGGCCAGCTGCCTCTCCATGGTCATCTCAGGCATGTCCACACAGGGACAGGAAAGCTCCTCACTTGAGTGTTTTTCACACCCCAGCTTCAGAGACGCCCACCTTGTCAAGAAGTAGCATCTTCACCTTCCTCTCTGGTCATCTGGTCCAGTGACTGCGGTGCTGGGCTCATGCAGTGAATTATTTGGGTGCACATCACTATTTTCAGTGACCAATATTTAAAAAAAAAAAAGCTTGGGGCTTGAGCCAGGGTGAGATTCATTTCCTTGGGATCTGCAGCCACTGGCTTAACTTTCTGGCCCATGCTCATTGCATTGCTGTGAGGGAGGGTTCCTTCCACTTACCTGGGCTCTTGGGGCACAAGTTACCCAGAACCTCCCACTCCCTTTCAAATCATGAGGCCATCTCTACTGGGACCTGTCTCCATCTTTCTGCAGAACACTGACTTTTGGGGGATGATCTGTAGGTGAGTAGGTGGGTGAACAGGTAGTAATCACCCCATCTCTAGTTTCACTGTGTCAGTCACAGAAGTTGTAGTTAGGGTTGAGACGTGGGTCTGAGTGCTCTACAAGCCAGGGCACCTGCCTGATTCCTTGTCGTTTTACATATCGATATGGGTAGATGAGAGCATGAATGCACCATAACAGCATATAGACACAGTGAAATGCTATATAGCTGAAAGGAGTGATGAAATCATTCCATTTGTTGCAAGTTGGATGAAACTGGAGCGTATTTTTTTGTTTGTTTTTTGGGCCACAGCTGGTGCTGCTCTGGAGTCATGCCTGACTCTACACTCAGGAATTACTCCTGGCGGTGCTGGGTGGGTCTTTGAGGGGCATATGGGATGCTGGGGATTGAATCTGGATTGACTTCATGAAGGCAAAAGTCCTATCTGCTGTGCTATCACTCCAACCCCAAATTGGAGAATACTTTGTTAACTGAAACAAGCCAGAAGGAGGAGGACAAACACTGGATGATCTCAGTTAACTGTGTTATATAAATAATAGGTCTAGGAAATGCAAGGTATTTCCTAGACTTATTATAGCACTGAGGTTATCCTATAACCCCTAAAGGGGATAACTTGGTTCTCAGTACTGTTTTTTCCCACCCTTCATTACCTATCCATGGGACTTGAGTGGGTTGAAACTCACATTTTAAAAAATGAAATAAAATAATAGGAGTGCATTATTACTTGGTAAAGCGTAATCTTCATAATTTTTTTTTTCTGGTTTCTCATGGAGAATATATATGTGTGCTGGGTTCCACTCTATGTTCCATTTATCACGTGGGTTGGAAATAGTTCTGGGAGTTGTGCTCTAGCAGAACAGGCTGTTGGTTGAATGGGAATTCGCCCTCGGGTTCTTGGAATATAGGCTACATGTAACCTGACTTTGTATATTCTGTATGTGGCCCCAAAACTTTAAAGAATATTAATTGGGATCTGGAGAGATAGCAGAGCAGGTAGGGCACCCATTTCCCCTTGCAAACACCACTGTGCTTTCCTAGCCAGTCACACCGACATGGGACAGGACAGAGGGGACTGGAGTGTGCAGTCGCCTCTCTAAGATGGGAACGACTCCACATGATCATTGTGAGGATCCGGTAAATAGGAGAGTGCTTTGTTGCAGCCGGGAACAGTGAGGGGCTTTGATCTGTCACTACCTGCCTTCAGCATCCCAGCTGCTTTCTTTGTGGTTGTACGGAAGGAGCAGGGAAGGGCCCTGCATTTTCTTTGTTCCTGTTTTCTGAGAGATGAGTGGGCCGGCCTTTGTGCAAAGGAGTTCCAAGAGAACAGAAGCCCACCTCCGTACCACAGCGTGCATCCTCGGTTCCTGCTGAGTGCCGCCTCCGGCCCGTGCAGCGTGGGTCCCGGCCTTCGTGAAAGGCCTTGTGCCCAGAGTTGGAAAAGAAGCAGAGCTCACGCGGGCACTAGACAGACTACTTGGTTTGACCTTTCTTTTTTGTGATGCAGCAAATGACTTCAAATTTAGTAGACAAAAAATGTTAAACCCCAGCAAGTCCGACAATAAGAACAGTGGTGCCTTTCACAGCTATTCAACTGCATGGCCCTAATCTCTGTGTTCACTGGACTGGTGGAGTTCCTTGGAGAAGGGGGCGGCTGGTAGTGAGAAATTTGTTCATCCGCCAACACCCCCAGGGACAATAGCCAGTGCCTTTACTTCCCTTTGTCTCAAATTACTTGCTGGGGAAGACGGGACAATAGTACTCTCCCTGAATCCACCTCGATTTGTTCTACAAATAAAGGGAGATTTGCAGCTGCTTTGGAAAGGTTTACTTGGATATTGAGTACTAAGGGTGGTATTAGGGTGACAGTATCTGTAGGCTCCCGAAATGGTGAATCCTCTTAGAAGTTTCCCTCAGATCCCCCTGCATCCTCTGGTCCTCTGTTCTCAGGAGGAGCTGCGCTATTGCGTTGTAATTTCCAAAGCTGCCCTATCGGCTTCTTGTACCTTCCTTGGCACTAACAGCAAGAGAGTGAGTTAGAAGAGGAAGCCCAAGAGTGTCCGAGTAGCGTGAGGTTGGGGACATGGATGCCAGTCAGCCTTGTTGCTTTGAGTGTTGCTTTGTAGCTCTTGGTTTTCGGTCGTTGCCATTACCCCTTGCCTCTCTGTTCCAGGGAGTAAGGCATGTCGAGGCTTTGGCTACGTCACCTTTTCCATGCAGGAAGATGTTCAGAGGGCCCTCAAAGAGATTAACACCTTCGAAGGCAGCAAGATCGCTGTGACTGTGGCCAAGAAAAAACTGAGGAACAAGTCCAAGGAAAAGGGGCAAAAAGGTGAGTTTCTAATACCTGAAGGAGGTTTTCTTTCAGGGTCAGGAAGAGGTGGCGTGGAAGGGGAGTAGCTTCCAGACTTAGTTTCCTGAAGGTCTTTTCAAAATTCAGTTTAGGGGCCAGAGAAACAGTACAGTGGGGAGAGTGTTTGCCTTGCATGTGGCCTATGTGTGTTTGATCCCTGGCACACCATATCATCCTCTGAGCACTGCAAGGAGTCATCCCTGAGTGCAGAGCCAGGAGTCAGCCCCAAGCATTGCTGGATGTGACCCCTCCCCCCAAAAAACCAAACAAACAAAAAAAAACTCAGTTTATGGTTTAACATAGTTTATGGCACTATTTAAGTTTCAGGAGTGCCTCTTTGTACCTCAGTATTGTCCCACTTTGTCTAATGTGTTGTTATCATTTTAGTCTTCGTTTAACTTCTGAGTCTGGCAGATCTGGTGTCTGGGTGTTACTATGTGCAACCCTGTGGTCAGTGCTGTCTCATAGTTTCTTCTCTAAGGTGCTTTAGGCCTAGAGTGCATGCATTTGGGGCACGAATTTATTTATTCTTTTTGCCTTTTCTACCTTTTAAGAAAATTCAGAATCACCAAAGAAGGAACAGAAGCCTAAAAAACCCAAAGCGGCAGATAAGAAAGCCAGATTGATTATTCGGAACCTGAGCTTTAAGGTAAGTGACCACGGAAACTCAGACCTCATCATCTGAGGGTTGTTGGGGCTGAGGTATACTTATTGGTAGCACCTTCGCCAGGATATTATAAATTGGGCATTTATCTCTGGATTGAACCTTAGCCCTGTTGAATTCAGGAAAGGAGGTGGACTGGAGAGATAACTCGGGGCTGAGCACATGCTTTACATGTGAAAGGCTGGTTTCAGTCCTGGCACTCATTGATTTCCTGAGCACAGCTGGGAGTGACCCCAAATCACCACCACCACCACCACCACCACCACCACCACCACTACCACCAATAGTAACCAGAAAATGGGGGCAGGAGAGGCAGTAGAGGAATGAGGGCACTTATTTTGCTTGTAGCCAACCCTGGTTCAATCTGGGGACCACAGGATCCCTGAACACCAACTCAGGAGTGATCCCTGCTCTGAAATTGCTATAGATACTAAGTGTGAAGATGCTTTCCCTTTGGAGAAAATGTTGTAAGAAAGAGAGGGGAGGATACTGTCCTTTCTGCCTGTCCTCTGATATCCTTTCTGCCTTTAGTTACCAAGCGTGATGTCTTCCACTCAGAATCACTGGCTGTCTTAATCTTAAAAGTCAACAAGGAGTGAAAATATTCAAGTTCTTCCTGATGAACCAATTTAGTGATTGAAGTTTCTCGTTGTTTATTTACTCTGGTGCTACTTCTCTTTCTCTCTTTCCTTTTGACTGCAGTGTTCAGAAGATGACTTGAAGATCGTATTTGCTCAGTACGGGACTGTTCTGGAAGTAAACATTCCTAAGAAACCAGGTACTAGCAAACCTTTGTTTGGTGTGAGATAGGTTGATTAATTAATATGATAGGCTCCCACATTCCTTGCCCTTTTCTACCTTTGAACTAAGCACCATTTAGAATACGAATATAGGGCCAAGCAGATAATTCAAAGGGCTAGTGTGCCTGTGGGAGGTCCAGGTTTCATCCTCAGCACCGCATGGTCTCCTGAGCACCATCAGAAGTGACCTCTGACCAAATACGCCGGGAGTAACCCATAGCCACCACCAGGTGTGGCCTGGAAATCATAAATAAACACTGAAATGTTAAAAATGTTTAAAAGTTTTAAAGTTCTTCTGAATTTCATTTGCTATAGAGTGTCATGCAGAGTACTTGACAGATATCAAAAACTCAGATAATAGAGCGTCTTTCCCCTGCTGGTATTGTTAGATTAGAACTAATTTTACAGGGCATTTTAACAGTTTGAGGAAATGCATTGTGCTCTCCAAGCCTGAGTCAGGCTATATGCTGAGTGTCTCACACTAGTGTTCTGGGCAAGAGGCTGACGGGTTGGCTGACTTGGGGCCATCTTGCCAGCACTGGGTTGTGATTTCCCTCTCACCTGCTGTGTCTCACTTCTTTGTCCATTTGCACTCAGATGGAAAGATGCGTGGTTTTGCCTTTGTTCAGTTCAAAAACCTCCTCGAAGCAGGAAAAGCTCTGAAAAGCATGAACATGAAAGAGATTAAAGGTGAGTTTTCTGAACCTTTACCGAGGCCCAGATATTCTATACCTTTACGTTCACCAGGTACTTCTGGTGTCTGGGTGGGTTAGCACAGTAACCCACTCTCTGCATTTTCAATAGTGTATGCATTTGCTGAGAGTCTCACTGCTGAGGTGGTGGCTGTTTGGGTAACCCTAATATTTGTGTTTCGGCTTAAACTTAAATGAGGCCACGATTCTCCTTAATTGCTGCTGCGTGTCCCTTTAAATCCAATGAGAAATGTCCTTGAAGTAGTTACTGGTTGGTGCAGATTGCTATCTAGGGGATGAGGGATTTTCAGGTCCTTCCCTTTTGGTTTTGGTCACTGTCTAGCCTCTTTGATCTATTAAGCTGACAGTGCAGCCACACTCTGGGCGTCAGCTTACTAGGCTTTGTGCCTGTGAAGGGTCTGGCTTAGAAAGACTTCCTGTCCTCTGTGCAGAGAGCAGAGAGTTCCAGATAGCTCCCTCTTGGTGGTCTAACTGGCCATGGGTTGGGGAGCACTGTTTCACTGTCTCCCTCCAGCAGTGATGGTGTGAGGAGACGTAGACTTTCGGGTGACTGATAGAAAGGTTAAGGATTGATGGGAGGAGGCAGCTTTGGAAGCTTTTTTTTCTTTCCCCATGATCATCCCTAAAGAAACTGCAGATTCTTTGTCTCCTTTGGTCCCATTTCTGTGTCTGATAAAGTCACTGTGGGAGACATACATGTTAAAAGGGGGAGACCTGTCCTTCTTTTAATAAATAAAAATGATTTAAATAAAAGATTTGTTTACTTTGGGTTTTTGTTTGTTTTTGGGCCACACCCAGCCATGCTTAGGGGTTACTGCTGGCTCTGCACTCAGGAATTACTCCTGGTGCCATCTCGGATGCCAGGGATTATGCCTTGTTCAGTCATGTGTAAAGCAAATGCCCTACCCACTGTACTACTGTCCTGGCTTCGCATTTTAATTTTAATTTTCGTATAAGTGAACTGGTTGCAGTCGTGGTAATGTTTATGTTTTTGACTAACGATGTTGCCGCATAAGGAAGACCTTTCTTTTTTTTTTTTCTTTTTTAAATTTATTTATTTATTGAATCATGTGGGAAAAGTTACAGAGCTTTCAGGTTTAGGTCTCAGTCATGTAAATACCAAACACATTTCCCTTTACCAATACTTATTTTTAACCGCGAACCCCAATAGAACCCCACCTCCCACCCCTCCCAATTCCTGTGAGGCAGATGAGTTCTAATTAACAAGAAAGACCTTTCTGATGCTACTGTTTTGTGTGCCAGGGCGACCCGTGGCCGTGGACTGGGCCGTAGCAAAGGATAAATACAAAAACACCCAGCCTGTCTCCGCTCCAGGTAAGATATGCTGGTTGGGTGGGAGCCGTCGTAAGGGCTGGAGCGCACGCAGAAACAACTCTGCAGTGAATGTGTCGGGCCGCTCTCCTTGCCAGCAGGAAGAGGGTGGGCCCCGAGACACCAACAGCCCATGAGACCAAGGAGTGTCTGGATTCCCGTGGGCCCAGAAGTCAGCCCAGAGCTGGGGGTTTGATCTTCAAACATGGGAGCTTTCGGTGTGGAAGAGAGGGTGTGTCTCACTTGGCTGTCCCGGCGCCGTGTAACTGGGAGCAGCAGGGCGTGAAGAAGTGTTACTTAGGAAACAATCGCCTTGCAACCCGCGAGGAGCGCAGAGAACTCACTGAGAGTCAGGTTCCTGGGTGGGCTCGTGTGAGCCGTGGGAGGAGGGGGCTCGGCTGCTGCTCCTCTCATCCTGGACTGGCCCTCCAGCCTTTTCTGACTGGGCGTGCCCCGAGGCCGTCTCAGTGTGGAGGGGCTTTCGTTATTCTCTTTGCTCGTCTGTGGTGGTGGCGACCAGGTTGACCCTGTGAGTCAGGCGGTCTGCCGCGGAGCTACATCCCTGCCTCTTCATTTTTTTTTTTCTTTCCCCTTCATGTTTTCTCCTTCTATGGAAATAAAATCATGAGATTCTCTGAAACCAAAGCATCCAGGAACTTGGCGGATGGGGGGGTGGGTTAGTTACTCTTTGAAACTCACTTTATTTTGGATACTGAATGAAATCTTGACTTTCTTTGCCTTCCTATGTAGCTGAGGAGAAGAAATCTATACCTAATCAGGAGTTAGGTAAAGAGAATGGCAGGGGAAAAGAGGATACAGAAGGTGATGACGATGATGATGATGACGACGATGATGGCGATGATGACAATGATGACGATGATGATGACGACGACGACGACGACGATGATGATGATGATGATGATGATGGTGAGGATGAAGAGGAGGAGAAGCAGGAGCATGGAGGCTCACAGAGGGCCAAGACCGTGCAGGGTCAGAAGAGGTAAGCTGGTAGAGGAGTTGGACTGTCTTGGAGGAAACCCCATCTCCCCGTCCCATCACTGCAAACACTGGGTACTGGGTTGCCAGCCCTGGTCCTCGGTCCTGAGCCCACTGGGTCTTGGCAGAGCCGGGAAGAAGGCCGTCACCGAGAGCAGTGACGAGGACAGTGAGCTGGACGAGAGCGACAGCGCCGACGACAGTGGCGAGGAGTCGGCGAGGAGTGACGGCAGTGCCGAAGAGCTGGAAGATGAAGGTGCGCCTTGGGTGGCGGGGAGGGGCGTCAGCTTTTCTTTTGAAACCGGGGGTCTTTCAGAAAAGGGCATTGGTTTCATGCAGGTCGCTTTGCTTTCACTTGTTTAGTCTCTGTTAATATTATTTTGTCTGGGGGCCACACTCGCAGTGCTAAGGTGCTGTTCCTTGCTCTGGTTCTGGGGTCCCCGCGGGCAGTGCTCAGGGGCCCCTGCTGGCCTGCAGAGTGAGCCTGTGCCCACTCAGCACCTGCAGCTGTCTCTGTCCAGGTGCCTTTAAATAGGGCCCCGAGGGCCCCTGTCAAATTTATGTCTATGCTGAAAGTGAAACCTTGCTATTCTTTTATTCTAAAGTGGTGGGTTTTTCTCCCCCTTTTTTTCTTTAATGAATTTGGAATGGTGTTTGAGAGTTAAAAGTTCTTTCTTAGGGAATTTGAAATCTAGCTTACTGCTGAGGGCCCCCCCCCTCAATTATTATCCAATTTGAATGAAGAATTGGACAAACAACATACTGCATCTTAACACCAGATGGCTTTTGAACAGCTTTCTAAAGTTTGGGGGGCGGGGGCGGGCGTGAGGCTGCTCTACTTGGTGGTGCTCAGTACCCCCAGCTTAGTGCTCAGGTGTGTGGGGACCGTGGTGTGCTGGCGACTGTATCTGGGCTCCTGCATGCAGAGCCTGTGCTCTGGCCCCTGGAGCCCTCTCCCCTGTCCCTGAATGTCGCTTGTGAGTTGCGGTGAGTATAAAGAGCTCTTGGGGTGCAGGAGCACGGCTCAGGGCGAGTGTGCCTCCCTGAGGACCGTGGAGAGTGAAGTCGAGGAGCACGGTGGGAGTTGCCACTGCGTCCTGCTAGGGGTGGCCCCATGTCCGGATCAAAAGACCCTGTGAGGAGATGGTTTGTGAGAACCAAAAGCAAGTCCCAGTGCTCCCTTAATGTTGGGGTCAGCTTGACTGATTCACTGAGAGAGACCAAGCGTGACAGAGTGGGGAGAGGCAGCTGGAACTCGAGGCTGGCTGGCAGTGGGTGTTTGTGTTTGAGTGCTCAGGGCCAGGGTGGCTCCCGTGGTGCGGGGATTGAGTCCGCGCCTCCCCCGCGCGCAGCCTGCTGCACCCCAGTCCTCAGCGCTGTCTCTCAGACCCTGGACGCAAGGTTTGATTCCCTCCTCAGGCCATTCACCCTTGCTTTATTTCTGAAAGTCTGGCATGTTGCTGGTTTGGCCATCTGAAAATCTGGGGAGGGCGCCCGAGAGATTCCAGGGGTTGGGGTTCATACAGCCAACCTCGGTTAGGTCACTCAAGCATCACCAGGTGTAGTTCTTGGGGCCCTGAGCTTCGCCAGGGTGACTCCCGGTACTTGGGTATTCCTGGTACTGCTCGAGGGTGTGAGGCCCAAGTAGCATCACATCTCTGCGTACTTGTCTGGAACCAAAAGCCTGGCTGGCTAAGAATCACGAGGAGGGGGCTTCTGCTAAGCTCCCCCACAGAAACCTGGGAGATGGCTCAGGGGCGGGCTCACGCAGGCCTGGTAAGCACAGGCTTCCAAGATCAGTCCCCTGCAGCACCACTTGGTGTGGCTGAGGTCTCGAGGTGCCCACCAGCAACCCTGAGCAGTGAACTATCCGGGTGTACCTGGAGTGGCCCCCAGGCCCTCTGAGCACTGCTTGTGAGCCCCCATTGCCCCCCAAAAGAAAGAAAACTGGGGAAACAATCTTTTCCTGTGAAGCAAGAATGGTAGGCCCCTTAGAATCTTAGACGCTCTTATACCAAAGCACTGTGGGAGCTTTTGTTCAGCTGCCCAGATTCAGTTAACCCTTCCCATGGTCCCTCTTGAGAAATCACAGGAGTGACACATGATGAAAGAGAAGCACAAGAGGGCAGTGCATAATACAAAAAGTATTGAAAATACAAAAAAGTTCCTCTCCACTCCTCTATCAGTATCTTTCCAGAAGTTTCCTGTTAAATCCTCTTATTTGCATGTGATCCTGTCTGTGTATATTCACAGAACTATGTCTGGTTTGATTGTGGAGCCATCAAGTGCCAGGGATCGAACCCAGGGCATCAACATGCGAGACTTGTGCTCTGCCGCTTGAACGAAACCCCAGCCTCATAGCTCATTTCTTGTATTGCTTTCCTTTAATGGTTAGTTTGAGCTCCTTTTCATGTACTTTGTTCATCTGTTCGTCTGTTTTATTTGGGGGCCATAGTGGTGCTTGAGTTCATTCCTCTTAGTGCTCAGGAACGATATGGTGCTGGGGATCAAATCTCGGCTTCCTGCATATAAAACCTGCATCCAGCCCATCGAAAGAAAACTCTCTTTGGTTTTCCTTTGTTCATTTTTAATATTTTGGGTTATGAATTTAAGCAGTTTTTTTTTTAAACTTTAAGAAGGTAGCCCTTTATTTTAGAGCTTGATGAGTCATGAGTCTTTTTTTTGGGGGGGGGGTCACACCTGGCAGTGCTCAGGGGTTAATCCTGGCTCTGTACTTAGAAATCACTCATGGTTTGCAAGTGCTTCGCCCACTGTACTACGTCTCCAGCCCTTGCATAAGTCTTTTAATTTGTTCTTCTACTCCTCAGATATCCAAGTCTCAAAGAAAAAGAAGAGAAAATTACCCTCGGATGTGAATGAAGGGAAAACTGTTTTTATCAGGTATGCCTTTCTCTCTCGAGAATTGCTATTGATATTACTTTCATGACTTTCTTTCCTCCCTCTTCTTCCTTTTATTTCCCCTTTTGTTTTCTCTCCTTCTCTTAAGTCCGGGAATATACCTGTTCTCGGGAACCTTCCAAATTGTGAGAAATGTAGGTGAATTGGACTACACAGAAGGTCAGTAGCCAGGGACTTGGTAGCTTATCATTATTTAGATTTCAGGTTTTATAATTGGGTTGGCATTTGCGGCGACACTAGTCTTCAGCCACTGAACATGTCTTTTTTCTGACCTTTGTGTTCGGAAGCGTCTGGCAGGAGGTTGCTCTCAGGGTCCCGGCTGATTTCTCTCATCGTGCCTGTCTTAGCTCTGAAGCTGGGTCTCGAATCAGGGAAGGTCTCCCACTGGTTTCCGGGAAAGTCACAGGTGGGCGCTGCGGGGGAGGGCAACTTTGTCTCACGAGGACACTGCTGTTCAAGCTGGCTGGTAGGTTAGTTTTCGTAAGGCTGGCATAGCTTTAGTATGATTGGGGTTCAATCATACAGTGTTCCAATACCTATCCCTTCATCAGTGGACATTTCCCACCACCCTGTCCCCAGCTTAAGCGAGACGTTCCTTTCCTCCTGTCAGGGTCCTCTGTGAACACTAACGTATTCATACGGCAGTTTCAAACAAAACTGTTAGCCTCAGGCACACCTTTTTGCCCTTTCTTGAGTACCAATATGCTGTGGCCGTTGGGTCCTATTTAAAAGCTGTGTATTTTATTCTTTTCTATAGTCTTTTAAGATTGTTTTTATTATACAAGTAATTTATGTTTACTGTAGGAAATTTAGGAAATAAGGAAAAAGACACCAAAAAATTAACCATTCATAACCACACGGCAAAGCCTGGCAAGCTACCCGTGACGTATTCGATATGCCAAAAACAGGAACAAGTCTCACAATGGAGATGTTCCTGGTGCCCGCTGGAGCAAATCAATGAACAACAGGAGGACAGTGCTAACAGTGCTAACCATTTAGAGATGGCATACAATTATACATATTTACAGAGCTGAGTTTAGCCCATACAGTCTGTACTCTAGTCCATTTTCTTCCTTAACAGCCATTCTTCTTTTTTATTTTTTTCTCCCTGATTTGGGCCACACCCAGCTGTGATTAGGGCTTTCTCCTGCTTGGGATCACTCCTGGTAGGTTCTGGGACCATTTATGATGCCAGGGATCCAACCCAGGTTGGCTGCCTGCAAGGCATACATCTTACCCACTGTGCTACCCACTACCCATCTTCAGCCCCCATCCCTCCCCGCCCACTTTTTTTTTTTAACAGTTTTGTTTGAATTGCTGTATGAATACATTAGTGTTCATAGAGGACCCTGACAGAAGGAAAGAAACGCCTCACTTAAGCTGGGGACACTGGTGGTAGGAAATGACCGCTGGTGAAGGGATAGATATTGGAACATTGTATGACTTAAACCCAATCATGAGCAACTTTGTAACTTTGTATCTCAGAGGGATTCAATTAAAAAAAAAAAGAAAAGATCTGTGATGTTAGCACAAAGGCTGTCATCGTGCATTTTTAAACTAATGACAAACTTAGGAAAGTAAAACAAAAGATGGGGTGGGGGTGGGGGAGGAGGGTGACAAAACTCTACATGATATGACCAGTTCCATAGTGCATCAAGACTAGGGACTGTCATATTGCAGAGCATCTTACGTCGGTCACTCCATGGGCTATAGCATCATTTAGGGGCTGTTGACAGGACTAGAAAGGGAAAAGGTTGGCACGAATGCAGAGCAGAAAGATAGTAGAGTGATTAAGATGCTGGCTGTTTAAGGTGCTCACAGTGGACCTCAGTGTCATCACCACAGACTTCAGCACCACATATGGTCCCCTGAGCACTGCCAGGAGCGATCTTTGAGTTTACCAGGTGTTGCCCCAAAACCTAAGCAAAAAGAAAAAGGAAAGGTTGGTTTACTCATCCTCACGAACATGCAGAGCTGGGAACTGACAAAGCTGCACTGTGTTGAAAGTTTGTAGAATGGAATCTTCCTGCATATTTTAATTCCATCAAGAAAAATAGTTTTTTGTGTTTTTTTTTTTTTTTCTCCCAGTACTTAGCCAGCAAGCGTTACCATATTTGCTCATGAATTGTTTTGGAGGGTTTTCTCTTAGAGTATTTGAACTGAAAACTGAATTCTATAGCAAAATAGGAGGAAATTGCTAACTGTAGGAGGGAGGGAAAAAAGAGGGGGGAGATAGAGACTGCTTTTTTTTCCTCTGAGGTAATCGTGTGTGTGTGTGTGTGTGTGTGTGTGTGTGTGTGTATGTGTGTGTGTGTGTTAGGGATTGAACCCAGTCTTCACATGCAAAGCAAACATTCTACCTCTGAACTACATCTCTGGCCCTTTTTTCTCCCCTTTTTAAGGTACAACATTCTGTGAAGTGAACTTGTAGGATAACATTGGGTTGTCCTTGCTTCTCCCGCAGGGAGCTTAGGTTTATTGAGTTACTCCCACAATAGTGCCCTGTTGCACACCCAATTCCATCTATAGCACTGTAGCACTGTTCTCCTGTTGTTCATCCTTTGCTCGAGCGGGCCCAGTAATGTCTCCATTATGAGACTTGTTACTGTGTTTGGCATATCGAATATGCCACGGGGAGCTTGCCAGGCTTTGCTGTGTGGGTGGGATACTCTCGGTAGCTTGCCGGGCTCTCCGAGAGGGGCGGAGGAATTGAACCCGGCTCAGCCGGGCTGGCTGCGTGCAAGGCAAACATCCTACTGCTGTGCTGTCGCTCCAGCCCAATTCCATCAAGGACTAATAATCCTATATTTCTTTTCTCTTTCCTTTATGTCATTTGCATTGTTTATCAGTGTCCTTTTTGTATAGATACAGGAAGACAGTTGATGCTATGCTTTGTAACATGGGAGTTAATCCAAAATAATATTTACTCTTGGGTACCCATAGTTACTTGACCTAAGCCTCAGTTGCCCTTAGTTCCTAGAACTCTAAAAGAGGGGTCCTGACGAAGGGACTGGATGGAACTAGGGCAAGCTGTAAGCTACCCTAGCATCAAAAGGGGACAAGCTAAGCGCCATAAGTATAGTAAGTTAAGAGCATGGTCATGGACAAATTCTGTCATTACCCAAAAAAGTAGTAACTGAATAAGGACCCTGCTTGGGGTTAGGAAAGACTAAGCTGGCCTGAGGACTGTGGTCTGGGATATATGGCGAGATGTCTCCAGGAAAAGCCAACCTTTAAGCCAATATACCTTACTGTGTTCATACAAAATGACTAGAAATACTATAAGAAGTAAATTTACTATGATCGTTTAAATGGATTACTAGCTGAGGAAAGGAGAAAGCAATTCACTCAAGATGGAATCCCACCCTTGAGTGAATCTCCTAGTAATCTGGAGTGCTGAACCCTCAGATAAAATTTTGTCCTTGAGTTAATCTCCTAGGAGTGGAGAAGGAGTGGCCTTACCTTTGTTTATTGTTATGACAATATTCAACCCCACCTATATGTACCTCGACCCTTCACAATTTCTATATCTCTTTGCTGTAAGGGGAAAGAGGGAAATATGATAGACAGAGGACTTTGAGGTCTGTGAGGAGACTAGGATGGTGGAACTATGACCAAAACTATGGCTACAATTATGCTGTAAGGGGGAGATCGGACTATGTGGGGGAGGAGACAGAAAAAAAAAAAAAGACTACCAACAAGCCTGGGGCCCAGGCCCTGTTTCTTCATTCCCCCAGTCCTTAATCCGTCCATTGCTATTGTCTGGCCTAGGGAGGTGGCTCTTGGCCTTGGAATGCTCAAGTCCTGTGCGCCACTGCGCTTTTTCTTTTGAAACTCACCAGTGAACTGATCTGAGTTCACAGCTCAGTGACGTTTTACACACACACACACACACACACACACACACACACCACGCGCGCGCGTGTGTGTGTACACGTGTGTATATACACGCACAAACACACGATCTGGTTGGTGTGTATCTAGATACACACACATGTAACCATCCAGGTGAAACTATAGAACATTTCAGTTTTTCCAGAACTTTTCCTCAGATGGTGCACTGCTGTTTTGAAATGAGCCTCTGTCTACAGTCTCCTGTCTTTAAACATGTTTAAGTTTTTTTGTTTGTTTTTTGGGGTCACACCTGGCAATGCTCAGGGATTACTCCTTGCTCTGCGCTCAGGAATTACTCCTGGCAGTGCTCGGTGGACAATATGGGATGCTGGGAATCGAACCCGGGTTGGCCGCGTACAAGGCAAACACCCTACCCACTGTACTAGCTCACCCCTGAATATATTCAAGTTTTAAATTCCTGAGAGAGAGACTGATTGCCACAGGAAGGCACTTCAGCTGTGACTGAGGCGCCAGAGCGGTGTCTGCTGGCCGCGGCTGTCCCCTCGGGCCCTTGCTGTGTGTGGTTACTCTCCTGAGCGGAGGAAAGGAGGGTGCTTGGGGTACCGGGGAGCCCCTCTAGCTGATGTCTGACTCCCCCGATTCGAATTCTCGCTCTCCCTGTTGACCTCGTGACCACCATGTTCTGTAGGAACCTGTCATTTGACTCTGAGGAAGAAGACCTCGGGGAGCTCCTTCAGCAGTTCGGAGACCTTAAATACGTGCGCATCGTCTTGCATCCGGACACAGAGCACTCAAAAGGTATTTGTGGGTTGGCTGGACAGTCACACGTGAGAGCAGAGCGTGTGCCGTTCTGAGGGGGCCACGGTCTCTCCAGCCCCGTGTTTCTAGCCCACACACAGCCCACCAAGGGCATCCCGAGGTTGTCTTCTACGCTGTCAGACTCGGCGCCTCTAATGGCACTGCCGGCCGTGATTTTGCCTGAGCGTCCAAAGCCCTTGCCTGTTTACTTGTAGGGTAATGAATTCCGTTTTGTTGTTCTCCTTTGAATTTCAAATGTGAGAATATCTCATGGATATTAATCATTCCCCATCACTTCAGATTACTGGCATCTTTTTCAGTCGCTTGCCTCAGAGAGGGAGGCTGATGGAAGCTTCCATGCAGTAGCAGCAGTCAGCAGGAAAAGTGTAGAAGGAGTGCTGCCTTGTTTGGTTTTTTTCCCCTAAAGCGGTTTGCAGCTGTCAGGCCTGCCCATTCCTCATTCTGTGGCACTGTTGTTTGGGTAAGCATCCTTTTGGCCCATTTATCATCGTTTATTTTATTACCTGCAGTCGTCTTCCTAAAGAAGGGCCTTCTTAATTCACTCTGATGCTTGCTTGGTTCCTCAGAGATCAAGCAAAAGCTTAGAACTCAAGTCCCGGAAAGATTCCCCTTCAAAGTTCTGAGTGCTCTGGAGCCTAGCCACGGATTAAACACCTCCATTCTAATCCTTCTTTCCCAGAATTGATGAGATCCGATCATTTTGGGTTTTCACTCAGCTTTTTTTTTTTTTTTAAAAAAAAAGATGTAAATAAGGCAGTATGATGGAATGAAAACTGAACTGCTTCCCAAAGATTAGGACTGTAATCCTAGCTAAGCCACAGCCAGCTGGGTGAGTTTTGGCAAGTCATTTATCCACTGTGGACTTCAGTTCTTATCTGTAGAATGAGTGGGTTCAACGAGCGTAATCACTTAAGGTGCCTTCAGCATTATTATTCAATTATACTTCTTGGATCTCTTCCACTGGCAGTATGCTTTTCTAAAAGTAGGCGACTAGAATTGCATAGGGTGTGCAAGTTGGGGGAGGGGGTGCGTTGCTTCATTTTGAGGAAGTTTTTGTCCCTTTTTGAGTGCAGGATCACGTTCATACATGAAGAGTGAATACCGGATAGTCTGTGGTGGACTCGTTTAGTTTCTTTCTTGGTCAAGTAATTGTATCTAAGAGTTCATGATATTAATAAACATAGTTATTATCTTTAAATGCATTGTCTTCTCCTAGTGTATATTAGAAATTTCTGACTTTTTCCTCCTGCTCGCATGGCCTGGCTTGTTCTGCAGTTCATCTCTGCCAGCAGGCCATTTCAGTGCCCACAAGAGGATGTGTGAGGATGAAAACGGGCTGGGGAGATGGCTCAAAGGGATGTCGCACATGTCTGGTACTCACCAGGTTTCTTTCCTGGCACTGCAGGCCCTCCTAGGCATTGCCTGGTATAGCCATTGTGGCCCCTGGTGCTCCGGGGGGAAAAAGAGATTGAAATCAGTTCAGACCCTGGAAATTCCAACTTACCCATTCAGAGAGAAGTTTCTGTTTCCTTCATATCGGGCAAAATATGGAATCTGCCTTTGAGCAGCATTTTTGGCTGTGACCTGGTAGAATACACACCTTGCGTGTGTGTGAGGCCCTGGGTTCGGCCTTGTGGCATCTAAGCAGCCTCCAGCACTCCTCGGTGTAGCCCTCTGCAACCCTCCCACCCCATGCAAGGGCAGCAACAAAAGAGAAAATTCCTTCCCTAGTACTTCTGACCTGTTTCTTCCACTTGAGTATCTATCTGTGCTGGGCACTGTGGTTGATGCTAGAGAGGCAGAAGCCCCCAAGACTGTGCTCCTGATTCCTGAGACATTCAGGCTGTGGGCAATCATCTCCTGAGTAGGCTGGACTAGGCATGGGCCCTTGGCTTGTGGGAGGAAGAACTGGAACACCCCCTAGACAGGGGTCATCGGGTCGGCCTGCCACTTGTGGTCCGTATCAGTTGTTAACTGTCATACACTGTTCAGCTCTCAGTGATCTAGGAAATGTGACACTGTTCTCCCGTGCAAGGGACATGCGAGGTTTTAATCTCTTATTTCCAAGAGACCCTGGGTGGGTTTTTTTGACTGAAAAGGGGAGGTGGGCCAAAGAAGTTTAGGGACCTCTGTTCCGGGGCATGGGTCATGTTTTCTGGGTCACTGCTGTGTTCCCCCAACAGAGGCCTGGCCTCCCAGGGACACACAGGCCTTCACTGGGTGCCTCCCAAGGGACGGTGGTGCGTCTGAGATGTGTCGCTCCTGCTGTAGGGTTTGGTCCATAGAAGTGCAGCCGAGAAGGTAGAATTCAGTGGCAAGCTGGAATTTCTCTACTGTGTCTTGTGGATCGCTTCTAAAGTGAGAGGTCGATAAGAATGAAGTTCTGAGAGGCACTGGGGGTTGTCATAAGATTTCTGGGTAAGCTTATGTCTTACCGGACTCTGCGCTTTCAGTGCCCATAGCAAAGAACCTAGCTCATGAATGTGCCTTCGTGGGCGCATGGCCTTCGCCTTGCTGCTGGAGGTGGGAATGCAGACCCTCATCTCGTTTTGTCTCTTGGTGCAGGTTGTGCGTTTGCCCAGTTCATGACTCAGGAAGCAGCTCAGAAATGCCTTGAGGCAGCTTCTCCAGAGTCTGAGGTAAGGAGAGGATGCTGCCTTTTTGAGAGGAAGGGTCCCTCTGTCCTGTTCTCTGTCACCCTGTAATGTGGGCAAGAGTGACTCCCCAGAGGCTGGAGCAATAGCACAGCGGGTAGGGCATTTGCCTTGCACGCGGCTGACCCGGGTTCTATTCCCAGCATCCCATATGGTCCCCCGAGCACCGCCAGGAGTGATTCCTGAGTGCAAAGCCAGGAGTGGCCCCTGAGCATCACCGGGTGTGACCCAAGAAGCAAAAAAAAAAAAAAAAGTGACTCCCCAGGCAGCACATGGCGCTTGCTGTTCCAGAAAGATAGTAACTACACGACTGATGTTTCATGAGCACTTCCTGTGTCAGGTCTCTGCAGACAGGGTCTCACGTGGTCCCTCCTCGGCCTTGGAGGGGTAGGTAATCCGAACACAGGAATTGGCCCCATTTATAAGTGAGGAGACAGGTCACGTAACGTAAATTCTATCGATCACTGTGTGTGAACCTGCAGATAAGGTTAATAGCATGGAAGACAAGAAGGGATGAAGACCACCTGTGAAAGAGAAAGTGGGTGATAGAGACTTTTTCAATAACCAAGTAAAAGTCATTTGGAGGTAAAGCTACCCCTTACTGCTATGGTTTCTCCAGTAGAGTTAACACTACCAGTTAAGGAGTTTCTTTAGAATACTACAAGCTGGCCTGTTCATACATCACTCTTCTTAGTTCGGGCCTACTTGGGGTCTAATCAGCTTCCATAGAACAAGAGTATTTTTTGGTTTTGGCTTTTGGGTCACACCCGGCAGCGCTCAGGGCTTACTGCTGGCTCTTTACTCAGGGATCACTCCTGGCAGTGCTCAGAGAGACCATATATGGTGCTGGGGATCTGGTGTGGGTTGACTGCATGTAGGACAAGTGCCTTCGTGGCTGTGTTCTCTTTGCGGCCCTTGGCTTGCATTTTAAGAGGAAGGGTGACAATGTGTTCCAGGGTGGTGGGCTTAAATTGAACGGCCGGCAGCTCAAGATTGACTTGGCAGTGACACGGGAAGAGGCTGCGAAGCTACAGACAAAGAAGGTGAAGAAGCCGACCGGAACCCGGAACCTCTATCTGGCCCGGGAAGGCCGTGAGTAGTGGGACAAGGGACTGGTTCCGAGTAACTGGCCCTATGCCATGACGGTGACCCCCGGGGCGGGTGTGTGTGGGGGCATGTTTCAGATGGAAAACCCGCAGACTGTCTGTCACTCTTGTTTACTGTTACTGACCCGTGGCAGATGGGCTTTTCCTATAGGAAACCTTCACCCATTTTTTGCATTAACCACACAGTCCTGTTCTCTTTGCTGCCTTGCTTGCCTGTAGACCTTTCATCAGACGATTGGCAGGGCACGGAGGGAGGAAAAACTCAAAGTACCTCTGCTGCGTGTCATCATTTCTAATGAGAGGTTTTCTGAAGGTGTTGAAAGTTATGACTAAAATTATTCTTGGATTATTCATGGATTTAAATGTAGACTCAGTATCTTTCCCTTCATGCCAGAAAGGTCTCCAGAAATTAGCTTTAATTGTAAAATAAAAGGAATCCTTTTCTCTGGGTCATAGAGTAGTAGCTCGCCTTCTGCACAGCTGCGTGGCCCAGGCTCTGCGTAGTTATCCATTAGCCTCTGCTACTTGACCTCTGTATGGCAGTTGGCTGTTTTCTATATGATTATCTCATCAGGTTGTAACAACCCCCAAGTACGTAAGGAACAGCGTTTCCATATAGGGCTGATTAGAAGGGGAGCGTCGTCTGCATTCCAAATGCCAAAAAGGTGTTGATGCTCAGAATTTCCTCTAGACCTTACCTTATGACTTTAGATATATACAAGAAGCTTCTTGAGACAAGGGAAGAAAAAGAAGAACAAAAATCACAAAAAAAATGGAAGAGTTTTAGTCCTTGAGAGTAGCTCCGAGCCAAGAACTTAGCCCTGTAGCCTATTTCTGGACCTACCCAAATGCCTCTATGTACTCGCCAGCCTGGTCCTCTGGGCCCTGAACTGAGAGCTTGCATCACTCCAGTCGCATTCCTCTTGTTGCTCTGCGAAAAGTCCCTTGCCAACGCCTTGGCCTCACTCCCCTCTCTCTGCAGTGATTCGTGCTGGGACGAAGGCTGCGGAGGGTTTGAGCGCTGCTGATATGGCCAAAAGGGAACGGGTGAGTAGATGAGGCCCGAGTCTCTGGTTCTGCACGGCTTCCTAGTCCATGATCATGATGGCATGCTAGAGGTTTCATCAAAGGACTGTGTGGCAGTCACAGACCCCATTTGCACTCTTGTTAGAAAATGCACAGCAACTAATCCAGAATTATGTATAAAACTTTTATTTTTCAGTGTGGGGTGGGCATGGGGTTAAACCCACGTCCTCAGGATATGCCTGGCAGGTGCTCTACATCTGACGTATTTCCCTGGTAGTTACCTTAGCATTAGGAGCCACTGTAACAGCTGCCTTTAATTCTTTGTTTTCTAGTGCTCAGCAGTGTTTGCTAAACTGTATCCTTCTAGAGTATGCAGTCAAACTTTAGGGCTGTGTGTAACTAGGAATCAGCATAAATACAGAGTAACACGTAAGGCATATCAGTGCAGGCATGTAGCTTGGTGGTAGAAGTTATGTGCTGCATGTATGAGGCCCTGGGTTCAGTTATTGCTGGTGTGTGCATTTGTGCACACACACACACACACACACACACACAATATTAGTGTGTGGATTGGAGTTAGTAGACTAGATGTGAGTCTTAAGAGGTAAAATTTCCACATTGGTGTGGAGGTTGATATCATCACAATATAAGTCATATCAGGAAAAACTTTTTTTTTTTTCATGTTTGGTTGGTTTTTGGGTCACACCTGCATTGCTCAGAGGTTGCTCCTGGCTTTGAACTCAGAAATGACTCCTGATGGTGCTCAGGGGATCATATGGGATGCCAGGGATCAACCTAGGTCAGCTATGTGCAATGCAAATGCCCTGTTTGCTGTACTATTGCTCTGGCCCCCAGTAAAACACCATATTGTCATGCAGGTTTTCTTTAATAACTGATAGAAGTTACTTTGCTACTTGCTACACTTGCTAATATTAGTTCCCAGTAATTTCCCCATGTAACTTCTCAAATGCTAAATCACCTGTGACTCTTAAAAAGGTGCATATAATGAGCAGAATTGCTTCAGAACGGGCAAATAAAGCGGCTTTGGTTGTGAGCATCCGGAAATTATGGTATTGGGTAGCAGGTGGGAGGGGCATTATATGTCTTTTTCTCGTCATCGTGCAATAATGGCACACTTAAAATCTCTTAAAATCAGTGTTTTTATTTTTGAGTAAGACTATATGTGTTATAATTCAGAGCAGACACAATGTTTCCTGGGAGAAAAATTGGACCTTTGAAAGCTGTTGAAGGGCTATGTATGATAGCTTCTTCGGAGATCCCTTGAGATTTCATTTCCCAGATATTCTAGAATTTTTTAATGTGCTATGCCTTTGTCAAACGAAGTGCAGCCAGAGAGTGAAGACTTAGTGAAAGAAAATAATGTATTTAAAACGTTTTTTTGGTTAACCTGACTTTCAGAAACTTAAAGAAGCTGGCTGCTTCTCTTTGAGGTTTGCAGGCCAGTGCAGCAAGTGCGCTGTGTAGTTAGTCACGGCCCGCCTGGAGCCCAGCCGTTCTTTGGCCACACGGTGGCAGAGTTGAGTCAGGATTCTGTCAAGTCTCGAAGTCTCGAACCGCAACCCACTTCCTTTTGGAAGGGCTAGATCCTTAGCTGTAGTGGTGAAAGAAAGGTAAGGGAATAGATATATAGCACAGTATTATTTCTTTTCTGCTCGTGGCCAGGTTTTGAGTTCAGGGTTTTCTCTCTGTTAATGTTTTCCACTTCATGTCGGTGGTTTTTGGATTTAGTTTGACCTTTGGACCAGATGCACCCAGCAGTGCTCACGATTTACTCCTGACCGTGTACTCAGGCGGCATTCCTGGTGGGGCTCGGGGGTACCACAAGTGTGCTGGGGATCACACCCGGGTTGGTCCTGTGAGGGCAGGGGCCCTACCTCTGTGCTATCTCTCTGGCCCCTCATGTCATGTCTGGAGAGATAGATTTTTTGGGGGGAGGTTATTTTTATTTTTGTTTTGGGGCCACTCCTGTTGATGCTCGGGGGTTAATCCTGGCTTGCCACTCAGGAATTACTCTTGGTAGTGCTTGGGGACCATAACGGATGCCAGGGATTGAACCCAGGTCAGCCACATGTAAGGCAAGTGTCCTATTTGCCGTACTATCACTCTGGCCCCTGAGAGATGGAAATTTTCACTTGTCATTCTGCCTCGTAGATGAAAACATTGGAAGCTTTAGGAATTTCCTGTAAGGTCAGCTATAGGGGTGAATTTCCAGTTCCTTCTGAGAGCAGAGTCCCGGATCTCACACCGCTCGCATCACACAGACTCACCTTTCGTCGACTGGGCGGCGGGATGAGGCTGCCAGCCCTGTCTCCCTCCTCTTGTCTCTCTATGGTTCTGGGAAGAGCTGGCCCTGGGCTTCTGTTTGCTCAGGGGCTATGGTAGTTCTCAGGGTTCACTCCCCACTTCAGGTGGTGCACAGGGGACCCTACAGGCCAGGAATTGAGCCCGCGCCTCCCACATTCAAAGCATGTCCTCCAGCCTTTTGAGCCATCTCGTTGGTCCCAGGACCCTGATTTTGGCAGAGGAGGTTGTATTATTAACACTTAATTTTTTTTTTCTTTTAGTTTGAGCTGCTGAAGCATCAGAAACTCAAGGATCAGAACATCTTTGTCTCCCGGACCAGACTCTGCCTGCACAATCTCCCGAAGGCTGTAGATGACAAGCAACTCCGAAAGTTACTGTTGACTGCCACGAGGGGGGAGAAGGGCGTGCGGATCAAGGAGGTAAGAGGCCGTCCTGCCCGATTGTCTCACGGAGTCCGGCTGCTCGGGTGTTTCAGGATGTGGCGCTCACAGATGCACAGCTTTGGGCTTTTGTTTGTTTGGGAGCCACACCTGGCAGTGCTCAGGGCTTACTCCCGGCTCTGTGCTCAGGGCTTACTCCTGGTTCTGTGCTCAGGGCTTACACCTGGTGGTGCTCAGTGGACCATATGTGGTGACTGGGATCTAATTGGGTTGGTCCTGTGCAAGTCAAGCAAGCATCTTCACCCCTGTACTGTCTCTGGTTCCCAGATTTGGTTTGGAATGCTCTGCCAGGAGATGAATCTTGAGTTTGGCTCCCCACCCCCACCCCCATCCCCTTTTATTTTTTTCTTTTCTAAGAACATTCATACCTGACCAATTGAAGCAAGAGTATACGGAAGTCTCTGCCCTGGTGAATTAATTTGGCAAGCGTTTCTTGAATGTCTGTCGTATGCTCAGTATTAGAGCAGGGACTGTAATGTTAATTTTCTTGCATAGAAATAGAAATGAGGACATTTCCCTGCCACTTAGGCTGTAGCCCTGAGCCTTTTCTAAGCACGGAAGTGAGCACGGGTGTAGCAGGGGTCCTTGTCCCATCTAGCAGGAAAGCACCAAGACTCGGCCGGGCGCTGTATGAAGGCAGAGTCACCTATGGGGCACAAAGGCCTTCGTGTGCCTCTGTCGTGGCACTCACTGGGGCACTGCCCTGTGTGCGCTGTCCTCTCTCCCGTCCAGGTGAAGTCTGGGAGGGCAGGTATCATCCTTGCTGCAGCACAGGGCACATAGTAATCTCTCCATCACTCTCTTTGAAAAAGTACCAGCCAGTGTTAGGAGTCTTCTTTGGCCTCTTTCATCACCAAAATGGTTTTCCTGATTTCTTAAAAGACTGATTAAAATATGTGTATTATTGGGCCAGCTCAGCGGTAGAGAACCTGCCTTATATGTGTGAGGCCCTGGTTCCTACCATCTGCATTACAAAAAAAAAAAAAAATAGTACTGATGGTTGACTAATTAGATGAGGGACGAAGGCCTACCAACACATTTCTGACCCCACTCTTAGTAAAACGGTTTTAAGTATTGCTGCCATACGTTGTATAATTTCTCCTGTCAGTATCCACCATATTCAGTACATAAATATTTGTCATTTCAAACCTGCTACATGGACCCCCAAGGGGTTGGAGCACAGACCTGGCATGCCCAGTTCTAGGCCTGATGCAACCATGGCCTCTGGAATACCATTAGGTGTAGCCCTGGAAACTCCCACTGCTGATAGTGAGGCTCCTGAAAGCAGTGAAACAAAAGACCCAAAATGAAACCAGTTGTTGCTGAGAGCACAAGTTGTGTGTATTTTGCAACATTTCATTTGCTTACATGCATTTCATATATTTACATGCATTTATAATGCACTTGTTATATTTACTGTATTTTGCAGCTTCCCCTTAATTTTTTCATATACATAACAATAGTGACTTAGCAAAAAACTAAGCTTCCTGAATATGGAAACCTCAGTTTTTGCTTTTCTGAATTCTGCTATAGTGTGTGACACAGTTCTAGGCTCAGAATAGATTTTTGGATGTACCAAGTGCAGCATCCTATGGCCCCAGTCACTAGACTTCTGTATTCTAGATGTTGCCCTGGAAACTCCCACTGCTGATAGTGAGGCTCCCAAAAGTAGTGAAACAAAAAACCCAAAGTAAAACCTATTGCTGCTGAGAGCGCTTTTGGTGCAGTGAATAGAGTGTGAATGATCAGTTTCCCCAGTACCCTTGTGAACCTCAGAGGATGCCTCTTAATTCTGGCTTAAGGATTTAGGGGAAAGTCACGACAGGGAATTCAACCCAGGCAGAGGCTGCTACTGCTGTGGCTGCTGGTCTTCGTGAGACTGGGCTGGGCCGGCTCTGACCATGCATGAAACGTCTGTGATGTGAAACCACCAGGCCTTGCTCTGTCCCCTTTGTAACTCCCTTTCAGAGTGCCTGCAGAGCGATGCGGCCTCTGGGCAGTGTTTCTCCCATGCGGACAGAACCTGGAAGTATCCTGTAGCTCTCAGTTGTGTGTATTATTCTGTTACCAGTTTTTTCTTTAAAAGCAGTTACAGTTTTTTTCCTTGGGAAGTTTATTTTATGTGCAGACTTAACTTGAGGTCTGGTTTGATGTCTGTCATCTCTTACATTGCTGTAACCAAATATCTATTATTTGTTTTATGCTCTCAGTGGGATATTTTAATAAGACTGGCATTCTAAATGTTCTTCTAGCGCAGTTCCTATGGCGAGGCTGCAGATGGAGAGTCTGCCCTAGTTGCCCTCTTCCTTCCTTCCTTCCTTCCTTCCTTCCTTCCTTCCTTTCATTTCATTTCTTTCTTCCTGTTTTTTCCCCCTTTCTTGGTTTTTGGTCCTGACCTGACCGTGCTCTGGGGTGCGTATGTGGGCCTGGGGATAGAACCAGGGTTGGCTGCGTGCAGGGTGGGCAGGACTCTCCGGCCCAGAGACCTTCTCGCTGATCTGTTCAGGGGCCGCCTCTCAGGGTCTCTGTGCCTTGTTCTCCCAGTGCAGGGTGATGCGAGACCTCAAAGGCACCCACGGGAACTTGAAGGGGCAGTCGCTGGGCTACGCCTTTGCCGAGTTCCAGGAGCACGAGCACGCCCTCTGCGCCCTGCGCCACATCAACAACAACCCGGACATCTTCGGGCCGCAGAAGGTGAGCCCCGGCCTCTCTCCTGTCTGCGCCCCACCCAGCCTGGCCAGGAAGGCTGTTCATCGCACCCTCCCCTTACCTGTGCAGAAGGCGCTGCGACTTCTGACATGCTGGAAAACGGGGCAGTGGTGGGGACAGCTTGGCTTATTGCTCACGGTGAAGAAAGAGGTCTAACAAAGGGCTCCCCCTCTCCCTCTGTCTCCCTCCCTCGTTCCCTTTCTCTCTCCCCTCTCCCTCTCTCTTTCGCTCTCCTCTTTCTCTCTCCCTCTTTCTCTCTCCCTCTCGTCCTCTCTCCCCCTTTCTCTCTTTTCTTTCTCTCTCTCCTTGCTTTCTCATCTCGCCCTCGTCTTCCCTCTCTCCTCTCTCCCTCCCTCCCTTCTCTCTCCTCTCTTTCTCTCCCATCTCTCTCTCTCTCTCTCTCTATCTCTCTTCCTTCCCTCCCCCACCCCTCCCTCTGTCCTCTCTCCTGTCTTTCTCTCTCTGCACAGAGACCGATAGTGGAGTTCTCTTTGGAAGATCGACGGAAACTTAAGATAAAGGAGCTGAGGATTCAACGCAGCCTGGTACTGAACTTACGGATGGCTTTTAACATCTGTCTTTTTCCTTTTGTTTGTTTGTTTGTGTGTTTCTTTTTGGATCCTGGCAGAGGGTGCTCAGTGCCCACTCCTGGCTTACTGATTGGGGGTCATCCTTTTCGTAGTATTTTTCTCCCCCTTCATAAATGTCTCTGGAGGTGTGATGTTCTTTGGAGGAGGTGGAGGGTCATGGGCATGCGAGACTGTAGGAGCTCAGGGCTGTTTCCGGGGGCGCCTGGGGCCCCACGTGGGTGCTAGGGTTGAGGCCAGGTCACCGCGCGCAGATGAGCGCCTTACTGGCCTCACTGTCTCGCTGGCCGCTGGACTGGTCTCGACCTCTCTGGTACAGAGAGGAGAGATCAGGGCCTTCCTTTGGAAATAGAAATGCTCTTGTTCCAGCCCTGGCTCTGTCCCGTCCTTGCTGCACGTTCCTTGGCAAGTGACTCTCTCTCTCAGTTTCAGTTCCGAGTTGTAAAATGGGGCTGACAACCTCTGCCTCGCATGATTGATGGAGACTGAGTGTAGCCTCCTGCGTCATCCGTCTCGCACGCTGCTCGGTCGCCACGCGCGCCGGGCTCTCCTCCTCCCCGTGCTGCAGGGCTCCAGGGCCCGATGGTCTGAGGTACCAGGGCTTCCCCTTGCACCAAGGCCAGGCATGCGCAGTCTTTGTAGGGTATTCCATGGCGTGGCTGGCTGGTAGAGGAGCAGTGGCCCTGGCTTGGAAATCCTGGCTCTGATTATGGTTCTAGGTAGCTTAATTAGGCTACAAGTAGAGTTATTTACTGCCTTCACCACTTGTTTCAGAGGTAATTCTGAAGCTACTAGCTTAAAAAAACACACACACACATGGTTCTCTTTGTGGCTTATATTTAGATATATATTACTCCTGCTGTTTAAACGTAGCAGCTTTCCGGGCTGGAGCGATAGCACAGTGGGTAGGGCGTCTGCCTTGCATACAGCCGACCTGGGTTTGATTCCCAGCATCCCATATGGTCTCCCGGGCACCGCCAGGAGTAATTCCTGAGTGCATGAGCCAGGAGTAACCCCTGAGCATCGCCGGGTGTGACCCAAAAAGAAAATAAATAAATAAATAAATAAAAGGGACTTTGGAAATAGCGTCACCTTTCCCCGAGGAAGACTCTTCTCAGTTTTGCAATTTAATTTAGAGACACTTTAGCACTTTCCCAGTCAGCTGTAGTCTTTGCCTTGCTTCAATATGCATCTCTTCCTTCTATGTAGATGAGTTTTTAATCTCTTTTTTTTGGGGGGGGGGTGCGGGGATGTGTAGGGAGCTGTGTCCGGCAATGCTCAGGGCTTTCTCCTGGCTCTCCAGGAATCACGCCTGGCAGTGGTCTGGGATGAGATGCAGGGAATCGAACCCAAGTAGGCCTTGTGTGTGCAAGAGCAGTGGCCCATAGATGAGGTGTGAACAGCAACATTTCATTTCTTCCATCATCTCCTGACCCTGTAGAAATAGAGACTATCATGTAGCAGACGGAGAGGAGAGCCTGTCTAGATTGCTAAAGTGTAAAGGTCAAAATGACAGGTAATTTCACTAATTCCACTTGAATCTTTTTTTTCTCCCTTTCACTGTGGCGCAGAATAAACCCAATATCCTCCTGTCTTCCTTCCTAAAGCCCCTCCCTTGCGGCCTTTACCTCAGTCTGCTGCCTCTCATTCTATGTAAATTACTGGTCTTTTGTTAGGTTGGTTGGTGGGTTTGTTCTGGACACTTCTGGTGGTGTGCAGGGTTTGCTCCTGGCTCTGTGCTCCGCGATCATCCCTAGTGGTGCTTGGGGGAACCATATGCAGTGCTGGGATTTTTGACCCAGGTCAGCCGCGTGTATGGCAAGTGCCTTGTCCCCTGTGCTGTTCTTCTGGTCTTTGCTCAGTGCTTGTGCAGGCTATGTCTAGAGTTGAGAGAGTTCCTTGATATTCCTTTATTTCTCTGTGACTTTTGATGACTCCTTTTGTTGGGTACCGAATTCTGGGTTTGTGACTTTTTCTTTCAAGATGTTGGCTCTCCTGCTCACTCAGATGGCTTCTGACCTTTGGACCCTTCAGGTGAGGATTTCCCTCCACCTGGCTGCTTTCAAGATTTTCTCCTCATCTTTGGATTTCTGCAGTCAAAATTTAAAATGCCTAGATGTGGACGTTTTGAGATTACTTAATTTTATGTTGCCGTAGAATTTTTAGAATTCCACATGCTTGGTGTTCTGAGTTTTCCGAATCTGTTGTTTTTAAATTATAGAAACTTTTTAGTCCTCATGACTTGAAATAGTTCTTCTGGTATTCCCATCTCAGGTGCTTATTGCACCTTTAACAGTTGTTCGGTGTCCTTGGCTTTTATGTTTTCTGCTGGCTTTTGAGTATTGGGCATGCACGCACTTTGTCCATTTCTGCTTCTGGGAGTGGGAATGGGGGTCTGGCGACCCCACTCAGTAGTCATCTGTTTACAGTGTTCAGTTTCCAAATTGTAGCGGGTAACTGTTTGGGAAGATGCCCCCTTCTTTCACCGAACTCCTTCAAAACGCTTGTCCTTTTCCAGCGAGTAATCCTTCCCCAGAAACCAGATGACATCCTCTTGTTTCATGCAGCAGAAGGCGAAATCCAAGTCCCCCAGCGGCAAGCCGCAGCAGGGGCAGCCGGCGGCTGGGAAAGACCAGGCGCAGAAAGCAGCGCAGACCCGGACGCAGACACCACGCAAGGCCCCAGCCGAGCAGAAGGGAACAGCGGGCTCGGCCTCCTGGTCAGGGTTCCAGACAAAGGCTGAAGTGGAGCAGGTCGAGCTGCCGGACGGGAAGAAGAGAAGGAAGGTCCTGGTGCTCCCATCTCACCGAGGCCCCAAAATCCGGTGAGACGCAGATGGGACTTGTGATAGTGGGTGGTTGGGATTGTTTCTGCCTTGCGCTTTCCTTCTTGGTGGTGTGTTTAGATGAAAGGAAGCCTGGTACTGTGTGAGTCCCCCGGAAGGGTTGATGGGCGATTGCTTCTTCATTGGGAGGGTTGGTGCTCTTGCACCAAGGGAAGCAGGGCTAGACTGGCAGAGGGGCCTTGGAGCCTTCTAGAACTAGCTTTCGTGCTATTTCTGTCTTCTGAAGACTCTCTCACTTTTAGGTTCTCTTTTAAGCTGAGCTCCATCTGCTTCTGGTTCCCTTATGAGTCTGTTTGGGACATCAGTTTAGTGTTATGAACCAAAGTAGATCTGTATGAAGTACTTGTTAAGTGATTTGGGAGGTACCTTTGAGATTTTAAATCAAAACACTGCTCTCCCCGCCCCTCCCCCCGCCAAAAAAAATAATATACGCATTATACATTCCTAGGAAATTCTGTGGCACTGTCTCTTTTTTCTTATCCTGGGCTTAGAAAGAGCTGGTATAAGAAAAGGATATTTTTTTTTTCTGGGCTTAAGAGAACCTCCAGGGTGCCAATTAGAGAAGGAAGGCAGGGGTGACACTTACTTGACATCTTACTGCAGGTTACGGGACAAAGGCAAAATCAAGTCTCTCCCTCCGAAAAAGCCAAAGCCCCAGATCAATCAGCGGAAGCAGGAGAAACAGAAATCACCTTCCCAACAGGTGAGTGTTCCACGGAGTACTCGGGCGGCCCAGCTCTGTGGGGGCTGGCAGCCTCTTTAGTCCTTGGATAAACTGAGTTGAGAGAAACAGTTTCTGGCTGCATGACTGTAGTATTTTTAGAGAGAGAGAGATTCTTGAGGCACGCTGTCCTAAAAGTAAGAATAGGGAGGTGACGGCCCCATTCACCAGTTACTCAGCTTCAGCTGCGGTCTGGTTTTACCTTTTTCCCAGTACATGCTTCCCATCCTGCACCCCTCCCGTAAAACAGACTCTCACCCAGCAGTGTCTCTGGTGATCTGTTGCTCGGCAGCAACCCTCAGAGTGCATCTCGGAGCGTCAGACTCCAGGAGTGCACACACCCTCGATAGTTATCCTACCCTCTGAAATGGGTCCTCTTTTTTTTTTTGTTTGTCTTTATTTCTCACCTTTTTGTTTATTTATTTTAACTTTTTTTTTCATTGAATCACCATGAGATACAGTTAAAAAGCTTTCGTGTTTGAGTTTCAGTCATACATTGATCAAACGCCCATCCCTCCACCAGTGCACATGATGGAATAGAGAAGAAATCACTAAGACAATGATGGTTGGAGGAATCATTCGGGATGGGAGATGTGTGCTGAAAGTACATAAAGGACCAAATATAAAGGACCTCTTAGTATCTGTATTGCAAACCCTAATGCTCAAAAGTAGAGAGTATGGAGGCAGGGGGAGAATTGTTGGCGAATGTGCACTGGGTCCTCCTTTTAAAAACAAGTCTGTTCTTGTTTTGATTTGGTGATACCTAGGAGTTATTCCTGGCTCTGTATTCAGGAATCACTCTTAGGGGACCAGAGGGGATGCTGGGGATCGTACCTGGGTCAGCCACATGCAAGGCGAGCGCCCTTCCCAATGTGTTCTCTCTCCAGCCCCGCCCCCCCCCCCCAAAAAAAAAAAACAAGCCTGTTCTTAAACACTTGAGGCCAGGCACTCTTTTGCCTTCGCAGCTTCCTTTGTTTTAAGGAGGAAGTACTGTCTTTCCACTTATCATCCCATTTTATAGTGCTCTAGCTCTGAAATCCTGTGAACCGTAATCTCGATGAGGGGAAAGGCAGGTAATAATGTCCAGAACACTCATGGGCACATTTGAGAACCAGTGGTGAAAGCCTCTGAGACTCCGAGTTACTCTGGGGGAGCTGCTCTCGGCATCCAGATCTGCTCTCCCCGTGGGGAGTTCTCGTGAGATCTCAGAGCCCCCTCACGTGGTGGGCAAGATCTTTGGACCTGCTTGTTTTCTCACTTTGGAGGCCTGAGAGTCGGATGCTCTTCGTCTGAAAATGATTTTGTTTCCTTGCATTTGTAGCCACCTAAGAAAAAGGCACCTAAGAGAAACAAGGCAGAGATGCGCTTCAACCAGATGGTCGAACAGTACAAGCAGAAGTTACTGGGACCTTCTAAAGGAGCGCCTCTCGCCAAAAGAAGCAAATGGTTTGACAGCTGAGGGCAACCGTGCGGAGAAGTTGGACTGTGTGCTCTTTGAGGCTCCAAGGCCCCGGCTCCCCATACCCTTCTGTCATTGACTCAAGGAAAGGACCTCCACCCCACCCCCACACCGCCCTGGGGTCCTCCCTGCACTGTGCACATTGGAACTCTACTCCCTCCCTGGTGTGTGGTTCAGGAACCACAAAGAGAATTACCAGGAAGACGTTGAGCTGCTGTATGTTATCTGGAGTATTGTGTGCGTTTGTGTCTTCAGTTATTTCCCATTTGGAGTCTTTGTTCCTCAAGTGGAAGCAGTTGTAAACAGCACTTTGCTGGATTTTGAAGATGTATATTTTATGAAGTGTCTTCTCTAAATGAGATATTTTGTGGCTTTTTGAATAACAGACAGTGTCTCACTTCTAATATGTCTATGAATCTTTAATATTTACACACATTTTACATTTCTAACTAATTCATTTACATCATCCTTCATAGTGCAGAAATTGATTAAGAGCAGAGACAAATGATTTCCAGTGTAATCTCGGGAAGTGGGAGAGACTTGGGAAGTAATTGAAAGCAGCAGAGCCCGAGAGAACAACAGCTGATAATTGTTTGCCAGATGTAATTGGTGCTTGTCTGTCCATGGTTTCTGTGGCCCACTAAACAAACAGCTAGACACTAGACACAGCCACTAGCCCTAATGACTGATATCCTGCTCTTTGTCCCACGGAGCACCTTCTCCCGAGGATTCTGGAAGGTAGTGGGGCCAGAGACAGCTGGAGCTTGAGGCCTAGATTCTTGTCTAATCTGACTTTAGCCAGTGGGTGGCTGTGAACTTACCTGGACTTACCTGTGAACTGGATCTGGATTTACCTGTGCCTTTGAGTGAGGGCTCAGGTATCTCAGGTATAGGAAAAAAATTTAAGGGGTCAGAGAGATGATATCAGGGTTAAGGCTCTTGCCTTCTTGTGGTTAACCAGGGTTTGGTTCCAGGTAAGGTCCACTGAACACTGCCACAGTGATCCTTAAGTACAGAACCTGGAGTAAGCCCTGAGCACTGCCAGATGTGACCCAAACCACATCCTGTCGCCCCCACATCTTCCATCCGCCAGCACGATCATGTAATGACCAAGTGGGTGAAAGAAACCAAAATGTCAGATGGAGACAATAGATCCTGAGTTGATGGTTATTGAAACCAGTCACAAGTACAGGGAACTTTGTTTTTTTCCATGCCTTTGGACATGTGAGATTTCCTAGAAGAAAAGTCAAAGTCAGATGAATAACCAAACTCGTCCTGACCTGCCTAAGAAGGGAATTCTTGGACTAAATAAACATACTGAGTGGGAGTGCCAGAGGGAGGCCAAGAAGTCACAGAGAATCTGATGTTGGCTTCGTATAAGGAAGAACTTCAGGAGGCTGTGTGGGGTAGCAGGCAGGGGCTGTGAGTCTCATCACCAGAACAGTCCAAATGTAGTTGAAGGATGTTCAGGAATCCTGTGTTCATGTTCTTGATCTTTGACATCCCATAGCTCTGCTATGGCTGAAGTGGCTGAGCTGCTGCCACAGACTCGCCTGTGATTTCTCCTCTCACAGGTTCCTGCCCCTCCCCGTAATGTGGTCCCAGTGCCCTGGTCTCAAGCCCCCGTCCTACCTGCCTGTCTTTTTTTTTTTTTAATATATGTTTTCATAAAAGTGCTTCACAATAGTTCATTACAGATAATATTCAAACACCAATCGCACCACTGACCACCTTCCTACCACAATAAGAGGTAAGTGTGTGAGGGTTGTATTTCATTCTGGAGCCATTTAAGCCCGAATATAAGAAAATACACAGCAAGTATGTTAGACACCAAACAAATGTGTGATACTTCTGATAAGTAAGTGAGGTAGAGTATAAAAGGTCATGCGGCCACATTTGTGGCTGTGCACACTGGAAATACTGTCGCTCTCTTCCAGGAGCTTTAGTTTATAGTCTTTGGGTCCTGGCCGTTGAGATTACATGGCTCCAGGGGGCAGTTTGTGGGTGTGACTGCCGAGCTACTGGAAAATTGGGGAGCTGAGAGGAAGAGGCTCAGTCCGGATCCGAGCAGGCTTAGAGATCTCAGTCACAGGCTCCCACGTACCTGGGTTTTCCTGCCGGTCTGCTCTCTGGTGAGGTTCATCCCGTCTTGAGTGAGGCCAATCCCCTCTTGGGTGAGGTCATCTGAGCGTGTGGAGAGTGGCTTTGAGTATGTTTGGGTTCTGGAGGTGTTCGACTGCTGGGGTTCTGCTTGGGGCGGGGAGGGAGACTCCCACCTGTCTTTATCCTCTCTCTCAGCCTTTTGCCCCTGCTCATACAGGTCTGCCTTCAGTTCCCTTCCTCACTGCCTTTGTGTTTGATCCCTTCAGATCCCCACGGAGCTGTCTTCCTTCAGAACGCCTCCCTGACTAACCCGGCTTTTCTCCCTCTCACTCTGTTCTACTTCAGCCCCCTGAATTCTGTTCCCTGGTTCAATGTTTCCCTTTCTAAGAAAGTGCTCATTTCTGGATGAGACTTTTTTGTTCCCCCTCATTGGGAGAGGATGCTTTGTGAAAGAAACTGCATTTTACTTGTTTAATCCTGTAGACATGGCACCTAGAACTGAGTCTTGACATGCAAGTGGGTATCCAGTAAATTAACGGTGTGTGTGTGTGTGTGTGTGTGTGTGTGTGTGTGTGTGTGTGTGTGTTGGGGGGGGGCTAGGGGTGTTAGGGGTGTTAGTACTTGGCAGTACTTATTCCTGGCTCTTAATCAGGGTCACTCTTGATGGACCTTGGAGGACCGTATGTGATGCTGGGATTGAACTGGGATTGGTGGTGTGCAAAACAAGTATCTCAACCCCTATACTATCTCCATCCTGTCAGTAAACAATCTTGTTTGGCTGTGTTTTTTTTGGGGGGGCATGGGGAGGGAGTGGCACACCCAGCTATGCTCAGGGTTTATTTCTGACTTTGTGCTCAGTATCACCCCTGGCAGTGCTCAGGAGACCATGTGGGATACCAGAAATCAAATCCGGGCCAGCTGCATGGAAGGCAAATGCCTTATTAGGTATACTATCTTCCTAGCCTCAGTAAACATTTTTAAATGAAAAATTAAGAAGGCAATGGCAGAAACTACTGGGAACCCAGAGAGGTGGGGAGAGAGCCCCAGGTCCTTCATTTCAATCTGGTGCTACAGGAAGTGATGGCCCTTCAGTACTGGTGTGACCTTGGGATAGGAGGGTTTTGTTGTCGTATCTTGGGAAACCAGTGATGGATCCAAAATGACTCTGTGTGTGTGCGTGTGTGTGTGTGTAAGATATGGGAGGTCTGGGTTTTATTTCTGGCACTGCATGGTTCCCTGAGACCATCACCAGGTGTGGTTCCCTCCCCCTCCCCATGCCCTTAATTGAATTTAAAAAATAAAGGAGAACTCTGAAAGACTTTAAACTTTCTTTTAGAGACAAATCTAAGGACAAGGGGTAGGATGGGAGCTCTACGACCTGAGTTAGCCCAAGACCATGTGACTTAGGAATTTTGCAACAATTTTGCACCCCATAAACCTTGGTGTGGTCTGAGCACTATGGAGGGACAACGATACTTCATCATAGAGCCATAGTACAGTATGTGGGGCATTTGCCTTGCACATAGCGCACCTGGGTTTAATTCTAGGTACCCCATAGGGTCTTCTGAGCACTGCCAGGAGTAATTCTGAGAACAGAGCTGGGAGTGACCCCAGAGCATCGCTAAAAAGCAAAAACAAACAAACCCTAGACTCAACACACTGATACTTCGTTTTGGATACACACAGACTATCTTGACATGCTGTTAACCCAGCTGCTGTCCTGCACCAACTGTCACCTCGCCATCCTGCACCTTATTTGATGAAAGTCAGTGCCATGACCCTGGGGTCCCCAGAGGACAGTACTGCTGGTTTCCGCACCTGGGTTGTGTGAGGCAGTGCTGGGGGTCAAACTCACAGCCTCACATCTAGGGCAGGTGCGCTGCTGCTGGACTAGCCCTAACCTTGACCCAGCATGTGTGAAACATGGTTCAATTGCTGAAAAGATGGTTGCACAGTTCTTGAAAGAAGCAGCAAGACAAACCATCCGCTTTCCCACCCCTCCAGGTCCCTGTGGTGTCGTTTGGGCTCCTCTCGGGTCATTGGACAGTTCATTTCACTTGCCCTGGGTGTGAGCAACGAGAATCGTGCTCACTTTTTCACTCTATGCCCAGGGAAAAGTTTTCTGAATTAACTGGGAAGGCAGCAGGACAGAGTGCTGGGTTAAATAATATTGATACAAAGAAAAAAAATTAAAAACAAAAAGAAAGTAAAACAAACTAACAATGACAGACGGTTTGGTTAATATTTGAGATTTAAGCCAATGAAGCATGTGAGTCAAATATGTTGAGTTTCAGTCACATATTTCTGTGTGATGACATAGTCCTCTCAAACCTGGAGTCTCACCATTAGGTACTGACCCTTTGCTACCTTTTTTTTTTTTTTTTGCTTTTTGGATCACACCCGGCAATGCACAGGGGTTACTCCTGGTTCTGTATTCAGGAATTAACTCCTGGCGGTGCTCAGGGAACCGTGTGGGATGCTGGGAATCGAACCTGGGTCGGTCGCGTGCAAGGCAAACACCCTACCTGCTGTGCTATCGTTCTAGCCCCATGCTGCCTTTTCTTAGGGAGTGTGTGGTCTGCCTCATAGTTTTGAGAGATCTACTTTGGTCCAGGATATACAGTCCCTTCCCCTCGAGTTAGCCTGACACAGGAGTATGCCTCAACCATCTTAAAATGACGCCTGCTGCTTCCCATTGCAAAGTTAGGGCACATGAATTCATTCTTCAATATACTGCCAGACATCTTTGAAAAGGGCTTTTTCCCCCCTTTTTTGCATGGGGGTTGGGCAGGGGCCTGGGGTGATGGTACAGCGGGTACATTTACCTTGCACAACCCAGGTTCAATCCCCAGCATTCCAGGAGTAGTCCCTGAGCGCAGAGCCAGGAGGAGTGAGCCCTGAGCCCGGCCAGTTATGGCTCCCAAACCAAAATTTCTAGTGAAAACCCCTTTAGGCTCCAGGGAGCCTTCCTCCTCACTGATTTATTTGGCTTCCGATCACCTGAGTTGAGCATCCAGAATCTTCCATCATTAGCCTCTGGCATGATATGCCAATGCCCGCTGTCTGAACACCAGGATAGGCTCCTGCCAGTTCTTCTCAGGAGTTACAGCCCTACCAGGCTCTGCTAAAAGTTTCTGAACCTCTGCACCGACCACTGCTCCTGTCACCCCACAAGGGGGGCTGCTCCGGTGAGCTTGTCTTTCCAGGGGGCCTTGGTGGGCCCTGCATCTGCCTTTCCATACTCATCCCTTGAGAACATCTGTAAAGAAAGTTCCCGTCACTCTCAGGCTAAATA